GGGGCTTGGATTACGTGGCAGTCTTCCCAAAAATCGATACCATCATGAGCCAACTACTGGTGAAAGGCTGCCGCGGCTGCCTCCCAATCCACGCCTTTTTGCACGCCCTTTTGAGATGGAGACCATGTAAAATCAGCATCATCATTGTACTGTTTAGCCACAGTACCTATTGATATTTGACATTTGTGATTCCCTGTCCTTCACTGTTTGGGAGAATAAACACTTGGGTGCTTAAGATAGCTGCAAGACTCCACACCTTATAACGTGATCCATATACTCACTCTATCACATTACAGTCGGTTGGGCATGTGACAGGTCAATCGCAACTCGTCATGCTTGTGGGCGTGGCCAGCGAAGTCGCATGTCGCGTGCGGCATCGCTTTTTGGCGCGGCAAATTGCGATTCTTTCGACCATGGCCCAGTCGACTGCGTGGTGCTTACCTGATAGACCTCTTTTCCCTTATATGAAGGGAGGTGGCACTGGAGTCGAAGGGTTGAAGCTCAGAGAACCTTTCCCTTCTACTAGTTTGAGTATGGTCACATTTCTAGATAGCTACTGCTTCAAAAATTGTGCGTAGTTCGGCGACGGGTGGGGGAGGGTGGAGGTAGTCTGCTCATAATGAATACCGGTGAAACCTTTCAAAGCCGCAAAATCACTCCAGCCAAAGTTTGTAGAAACACAGCTCTTGTCAAGAGTGCCCGTCAACTTTTGTAAAGTAAAGGAATATCATAAAAATATCATTTGCCATGACAAATTCCGGCTTTACTAGGGTTCACAGGTTTCAGCAGAGGGAGACTCGTAAACCGGAACTAGTTTACGGAAGCACGGAAGGGCAAATGCCCCCTCCCCCCTCCATCTCCGAAGTGAACCAGAAAAACTTTGAAGCAGAATGTTAGCACATTCACCGAGAGCTTTACGGCCTTCACATGCAAACGAATGAGAAATTTGGGCACAGCAGGAGAACCTATTATTACGGTGACCATTGCGCCAACTCAAGGGCGCATTCCACGATTACCATATGAGAAGACATTCCGCGATTATCATACGAGAGGAACTCATACCTTCTACGATAAGTAAGGCCTGCAAACTCAGAGGTCGCCTCACTGTTGCGGCTCCACAGGGTGGAGTCTTCGAGGGTGCTGCCGTCTTTATATGTTCATAGGTCCTCGCTCCCATGGCAGTACCCTTAAACTTTTGTTCGTACTCCGGGGCCCTATTTACTTATTGACAATCAGGGTGCCCCATACGGTCATGTTCACCATTTTCTTCACTAGTGACTCAATAAGCATCTACGAGTTCATACATGGAGACTGAACGTCGCTTAACTCTCAGGAGAGTCCTACCGACGGGACAATATTCCACACGGCTTCTTTTCTGGGAATTGGACTAACTGCAACCCAGGAATGTGTCTCCAACCGCAAATAAAGGAGAGAGCATCGCGCGGGTGAACTGATTTGAACTGCGGCGACGCGCAGATAGTGATTTGGCGCGCGCGGCGTTTGCGCGGCGTCTTTAGCTAGATGACTCCCTGGCTCCGGCAGTATCGTGCGGATCAATTAGGTACTATTGGGGATGACTTGGATACGACACTCATTGCAGGTCACTTCCGCTGCAGCCACAAGTTTGATCTGTTGGTCGATGCTCGCATACAGCTTTACCCGCACGTTGCTTAGTCCCCATTTATAATTGATGACTTCGGAGGGAACGACGCAGTTGCGGACGGAAGAAAGTATACGTATTGATTGGAAAAGTCGCGGAATCGGGCGAAGGAAGAAAGGCCAAAATTCCGCTAAATATCGCTTTTTCTTCCGGTGGCGGGTCTAAGCGATCAATCCCTATCAAGTCTTTGTGCGTCATTTCGACCTTTCTGCAAATTCTGCACTCTCCTAGTTCCCCTTCTCTTCGAATCAGCACGTATACTTTCTTCTATTCGCATTTTCGTCATTACTTCCTGTCGTCATATATGAATGCGGCCTTATTGTTAGCCGTTCAATCGATTGTTTCGGACGAATGCATTTGCATTTTTCTCAGTGAATTCTTCATTAATTTCCCCTCCGTGACTGAGAAATGCGAGTAATTAAAAATAACCTGAATTATCTCCGATCAGTGGATCAAGTACGTCTAGTACAATCTGCCCCTTATTATGAGTACTATTTGACAATCTACCATTTCGTAGATTTCATTCAAGAATACAGTAACAATAAAGTAGAAGTTCATTCATCACTAAAAAGCATGTACTCTGCAATTGTAAAAATGCACATACAGTAATGAACGTTGTATGAAAGAAGAAAAAAAATTCATCGCAGTGAACTGGTTATCGAATGAGATTCGGTGAGGAGTACGGAATTATCAGCACCAACAACACTAGCAAAACGGTTGTTTGAACTGGGTCCGTCGTCCTACTGGACGGTACTGGAAGGTTTTACGGCAGTACAAATTGAATATAACAATGAATAAACTACTCTCTATGTTATATGCCGAATGTGTACATTGTAGTAGCGGGTACATGTTTAACAATTTTATAAATAGAATTCCAGTAACTGCTTTCTCAGTAATTGTTGGTAATTGAGCATTAATCAAGGCGTGAAAGCATACATAACGAAGGAGCGTCGAAGTAATAGTAAGTCAGACGCGAATTCTTAGAAAGAGTATCTTCACCTAGAAATAAATAGAAAAATAAAACACGACTAGAAGTATGTACCAACGGCAGCATACAGGTGATAGGCAGATAGAACGATAGAGACATATAAAGAAGCCTAAAATATTCGTAGTATACATAGGAGGGGGTATATGGCTCAGTTCTTCGATCCCGTTTCAAATTTTATTCGGGGGTGGCGGCATGTAAGTACCGTTGATATTGTCGGGGCGGCGTCAGGAGGCTTAAAGTGAGCCACCTTTGGCTTTTCTAGCATTGGTCGTTTCCCACCTGAGCCGGCCGCTATTGGTAGAAAAAGCAGTCGCGGGCGAGATCACTACACGTCCACAGACACGCCTCGCTAGACTAGCGACGATATCAATTAATATTGTACCACAGCGCTTTGGAGTTCACTGAACTCAGGTCAATGATGCCATCATGAGCACTCGAGCTGAGCTAATGACGAGTAGATCAATCCACAGCTATTATAGTGCAGTCATGATGGGACTTATACCACCGAATTCGCTTCGAGTACCACTTCCTTCTTCCGATTCAGCGCTCGAGCATTCAGTCGAGTTCTTCGAGCCTTCAGAACCTGGAGAAAAAAAATGATATTTTCCGGCTGATTAGCAGTCATTCTAATGTAGAAATCCTTTTAAATCATCGATTTTCCTTTTGAAGAACTTTTTTTTTACAGAATAATTTTGTGTAACTTCAATAATAAATGGCCATACTATCAAAGCCTATACTATACTAACAATGCCTGTACTATATTACTGTTTTCCCAAAATACTAGCATTAGTCCCGCGCTTCTGGGAGAGCAGGCATCAAGGCCTGAACACATACATTGCCATGCACCATTACTATTACTATCATTACTATAGTACTTCCGAAACAGATAGCAAGGATAGTCTGCTAGTGGCATCCGGAGCACTTCCTGTCAAAAATTGAATTAAGTAGTACTAAACTCTGTTATGCACCAGGGAACCCGTTCCCTTCCACCTCGAACCGAGGTCAAGGTATGACAACCCAGGGACTTTTCCTCAGTACTTCTCCCTCGTTATATTGCTCTACAGATGCGACCTCTTATCTAAGCATAGCACCCGTTATGTTTTTCAAATTAGAGAGGGTCGTATTATGTCAGTGAGGAGGGGAGGGACGTAATTGCTCTCGAGAAACTTTTCGACAGACGATTTTTCCGGCTTAGGCGCTCACCACATGTAGGACCCCGTTGGGGGTTCTATTTCGGACAACGGGGGAGGAGGGGATGTGTATTGATCCACATCTAACAACGCGATGCTGTGCCCTGTCCTTAAAGGAGTGGTCTGCGCTGACCACTCCTTGAAAATGCAAGAAGTTATGTGGGAAGGTAGTGCGGTCTAGAGCGGACAACCATGTGCCGATTCGCGGCACAAAGATGTGGTAAAGGGATTAAGGCGCAAAGTTGCTTCAGTGGTACATCCCTTTTTCCAGTGACTCCGCCCCAAAACTCTGCCTCCGAAATCGGCCTTCCAGCCAAAAGTAATGCTCCCTGGCAAGTATTATGGAGTGGATGCATTCCATGTCTCTTGTAAAGTCATAAGGTTCATTACTGGGAATCAGCCAACGGGAATCGTCCCCGCGCGCGGTCTCTTCGGTCATTTACCTCCACAGTTGTTTGAGGCTAGAGGAGTTTTGACAAATGCGTTTCCAATTTTCCCTTTGACATGCCCTCTCCATAGACGGCTCACTTGGCAAATTTTCTTCCACATTTGCAAAGTCACCTAGGTTTTTAACGCGGACCGTGCTCTGATACCCGTCCAGGTCGCGATAGTGAAGGGGAGGTGAAGTTAGACACCTGGACATCTTCAATCATTCATCAGAGCTACTATTTCTGCACGGGCGACTAGGGACATAGAGCGCGCTCAAAATAGGGATTTTTGTGCAAAAGAGTTTTAGCAGGCCAAGCACAATTTGCCCTTCCCATCGACTAAAATGTCGATCACCCGCCAAGGATTCCTCGATGTATTTTTGACAATGCCTGAGCTCCTCTGGGCTTTGACAAAGCTTCAGTAGGGCAATCTCAACTCCGCTCGAGGAGTCTTTCGAATGTCGCCGCACTGCCCTCAAACAGTTTTCAAACAATCCAGTGTTACTGAAGATCTTCTGAATCGGAATAAATCGAAGTTTTCTGTTGTTCGACAACGGGCGGCAGTTCCACATAAAGGAACGGTTAAGTGAGAATCATTCCCAAGGACGATTCAATTTCAACGACGTTGCTGAATGAGATTTTTGACAAATGAGAGGTTTTCTAGACATGAATGTCGTTCTGTATCCTTAAATGCAATTCTTAGAAGATTGGCTTTAGAGACCAAAAACTTCACCTTCAACTGGTAGTCTTGATGTTCAGGAAAACTCAAGACATGGAAATTTCTCTGAAGGCTCTGAACCAGTTTGCGGTAGCGCTTGCTGTAGAGAAAAGAAATCAAATTCCAAAACTTGTCCCGAAAGATTTCTTCAAAATTGGGCAGCGATCCGCAAATTCCTTGTAATATAATACTCAAAAGATCACAACTGGTTGTAATCCTCAGCAATGTACTAGTAATATTGGATAAGCTTATTTTGAATTTCAGAGTCACAATGAAGTTTACTGGACTCTGCTTGTCCGCGGGGAAGGAGGAGGGGCAATCAAAGGGCTTTTCCCGTAGAAATGGTGTTAGGTCAAGGAGACGAGGATTCTCGCCCAAGTCCAGGAAAATAAGGAACTCCGAGATGAGCGAACAACATCTGTGGGCAATTTGCGCTACAGTAATCCCTACGCTGCACAAAGAGCCTTTCAAGGCTTCTCCTATGGCGAACCAGGGCACATCATCGTTGGGGATTCCCCAACAGAGGGTTGTATTTGGTTGCTGGGAAGAGGGGGTCGTATTTGGTCCGAGTGAATTTTTTTATAGTTGGTTTTTCTTCGTTTACGGACGCTATAATGGGAGGAGGGGTCATACATATTTGGCCGTTTTTCGGAAGATGTGGGGTCGTATTTGCTTTTGGTGCAATGGGAAGAATTTTTCCGGTAGTGAAGTGTTAGCGGCTTCTACTGGTTCACATGTGCTATATACCCCCGCTCCACAGCGAAATTCTGGGGAAAAAGAAAAAAAATTCTCGGGGAATTTCGAAAAAAACTGTGGGACGTTGGGGAAAAACTGAGAAAAAGGCAGGCAAAATGGGCGTGGAGTCTTATTTTCCTCGCCACTTTTCTCGTTTAGGTGCAGATATAATACCCTCCTCCCTTCCTCGCTCGGCAGCTCGATCAGAGGAGGGTAGCAGGGGGATCGTACCATCCCAGAAAAAAGCAGGTCGTGCGCACCCGAGCAAAATCCTGAACTAATGAAGTGCTCTGACGGCGAATAGCACTGTTTCAAGTCTTACCTCCAGAATGTACTGAATAGATGGAACAGTCGGCTGATCGTACATCCCTATTCAACGCTTGGGTTAATTCCTGATGTGTAAGCGTTTCAACGGCTGCCATATCCATTTTTACCTGAATCCACATCTTTTATGTAATCATTACATCTTTCATGCAATTCATAATGATTGAGTGATCACCTTGAATGGACAAGTTTTCTGGGCACGCAGCTGATCGGGACTGATACTTTGTGTGATGTATGAATGATTGAGAGCGCCCTGGACATCAATTCGATCTTCAACGTCAACAACGATTAGCTTGGAAATCAAGTCGATCATCTCGTCCGACACCTGCATCATACTGTTCTAAAACTTCAGATGTAAACTTTATATTGATTAACAAATACAGATCTTAACTAGAAAAGTCATCGACATGGTTACTGTGTGCACAGTCCATATCTGAGGGGCCAAAAGGACGTTATAAAATGTAGGTGGATGCAAGCCAGTCTGAGGCTGTTTATTAAGATTTTGACACTTTCCTCTTACACATACGCCCCATCAGAAATAGGAAGTCCGCATACTTCATCAAGCGTGGCGGCAGCTGCGCGTTTGGAGGGATATTGTAGTTTCAGGACCGCTGCAAAGGTGACTTTGTCCAGTACAAGTTAGGGAAATACTGTAACAGATGTAAATATCCCACGAACACTTATGTTCAACCAAAAAGCGTAGCCAGGCCGGCTCCATCGCTGGTATGTTTCAGTGTACGGCTTTGCATCTCTTTCCTCTGGGTAAACTCAGCCACTGCTGCCCTCGCGAATACATAAGTAAATGCCCCCTCTTGCTCCCCCCCCCACTATAGATCCTGAAAAAATTTCAATTCCGATTTCAACATGAGCAGAACTTTTCCAGGAGTTTCGAGTCCCTGAACCCCCAGGAAATCGGAACTTTAGATAAAAAGGATAAAAGGACAAAGTCTTTGCCGCTGATCAATCCTTTGTGGGATGCGGCACGCATTCTATTTCCACTCAGAATCGTAGTGGCTTAGAATGCGACGTGGCCCATATAATGACTTCCGGGGCCAGCCGATAAAAAATTAATGTTCTTATCCTCCCAGACGACCCTGGTACCAGTTTACCGTCCCCGGAGGATAGAAGCTTGGTTGGCTTGGATGGGATCCAGAATTTGAACCCAGTACCGCGCAAAAGGTAAGCGCGCCACTTGTCACTATACCACTCCGCCTCAAACTTTAGATAAACCTTAGGAAACCAAGAGTCAGAATGAGAAGTTCCAATAATATCCTTACTAATAAAAGTTGGGAAAGTCCCTTCAATTGCGCTCTCGCTCTCTTTTCTGCATTGTCTAGGTTTGCGGTGGTGTAGTGTCAAGTTTCTAGCTTACCACGCTGTCTGCAGGTCAGTCGGAACGGCCCTCGCGCAGTCTAACCAAGACTCCTAGAAAGATGTTTTACCAACGGAGACGCTAGGTTTGTATCACATCCTCCTAGGAGGAAAAAGATGCTGAACTGCTCATGAGCTGGCCTCGAAAGCCTCTATTTGAGGGAAATCGCATTTAAAATGCTATTATGATTCCTGATGGAGGTAAAATGCACGGCTCATTCCAGAAAGAGTTCTATCAAAGCCGTAAGCTTCATGTTTTGTGCTTTTCACACTGATACAAGGAAATCGGAAGTCACTCCTCACACACCCATGAAACTAAATGAGTCGAAACTAAGGGTAGGTCTAAGATCCAGGATAAAGCTTTATTCTCCCACCCTCTTCATATGTTCATTTCAGTTGCCCACAGGGAACATCGTCAGCTGCGAATTTTGGTCGAGACCATACGACCCTCTCTCCCCTCTTTAAGCGTGGCTTGATACGATGCTCCCCTCCGCGTCCTCCCTACAGTCTGTAGTTTCCTTCTCACTGAGCCGCCGAGCGTGGGGTACATAGCACAAGTGAAACGGGAAAAACTACGAGAAGTAACAGCTTCTCTTGAAAAGCCAGAAGGCAAATACGAGCCCCTCCCTCTCCCAACAAGGAGCAAATACGACCTCCCTCTATAGCGCCACTGAAACAAAAAACTAACTATTAAAAAATTTTTTCTTAGACCAAATATGACTCCCCTCCCACCAATGACCGAATACGACCCCCTATTGGAGAATCCCTGACGATGATGTGCCCTGGTCGCTCAGACTCTATTGGGAGATCAAAAGCCAAAACATGCTAAGTGAAATATCTCTCAACAAAGATGATGAGTCAGAATCGCCAGACGTATTCATGTTTTTTTTTCAGCGACGTCTAAAGCGGTCATTATACGGTACTTGCGCTCACACACCCATTTCATGTTATTGTGATGATTTGATTACAAGGAACGTGTAAATGATTCACCTCACGTTCTCTGCAATACATAATTTCGGGCCATGGTCGTTGGGCGTGGTCGCCAAAATTTTCAATGAGTCGTCGCGTACGTTCACAACGTATCTCGTCCAGAATCTGCAATAATAAATTGATATTTCATCGATAAAAGGTCATATCTCTTCGTAGTCAGTGTGACCTGACCTTCGACTCTCGGAAAAACATGTGACAAAGCGTATACACATCCATACAAGGGCGAAAAAACTGTAAACGTTCTATCGAAAGTAATTACTACATTACACGATCGTACTTTTTGAGATGGAGCGCCAAGCATTGTGAGAATGATTTTGATTTGACCAGAAACACTACGTCCTGGGAACAGTTCACGTCTCAATATCATCTCGGCGAAAATACATCCAACAGCCCACATATCAACAGCTGTCGAATGTTCTGGCATCACGTACAGTAGCTCTGGTGCTCTGAAAGTAAACTTTGAAGTAAGTGTACGGTAGCGACTCAGGAGCACAGAAGATGCTCAAGAACTTTCCAAAATAAATACTTCAATTCATTCTTTCTTCCAAATTTTCAAACTCCAGTCTCAAATTACTCAACTTATAAAGCTGCTAGGGTGTGCTTTGGCCTAATGTCTACGTTATTACTTTAGAGAGTGCTTTGGTCTAACGTCTACGTTACAACTTGCGCTAACTTGTAAGTCGACCTCTCGCCTATGTCGCCCTTATTTCGTTAACCCTACAGTTGGTATCATCGCAATCTCGGGGCAGTGATTGGAATGGACCCCCTCTTTCAGCGCTTTCACCATTAAATGTCCCTGAATCGATCACCCTCTGATCATACTGGTAGTGGCGGATGCTGGAGGAGGTCCGATGCCCCCCTCTTGACACCGCACTAACCGCGACGGCACCAACTAAACCCTACTGATGAGCCTCGGGATTGACCAAACAATGATGGTCCGTCTGAGGAAAGCTTTAGACGAATCATCTGCGTTCGAGGATATTTTTTAGCGTACTTGGACTTCGTCTTTTCTGTTATAAAAGCCTTGAGTTTCTGGGCGCCCCTCTCCTTGAGGACAGGGTCTTGTTGTAAATTCCAACTGGACAGTGATACGAATGATGTGGTAGTCCAGGAGATGTCTTCAGTTCTATTTTTAGTGCCCAAGGATTCAGCGCGGAGCCGTTGAACATGGCAGTAAACGGTTTATGTCTGGCGCTGACCAGTACCTGTAGTGTGAGTCACGCATTTCGCTTTGATTACATGTCCCAAGAACGTCTGAATGGGAACAGAGTCTCTCTGGAAGCAGAGCCTAAAAGCGAGCTCAAGCTGCAAAAACCTGGGTAGCTAACCGCTATAAGTGGGCACGCCCTTGCCATTTCCGGGAAATGAAGGGTATCTCGAGCAACTTTGAATATAATCATCATCATGATATAATGACTGTTTCTGCACGATATAATAAAGTAGCAGCTTACCGCACCCACTCTCTGTTTCCCTCCATCGCGCGGGGGCGGCAGGAGATCCGAGTTGCGGGGAAGCTCAGAGAGTACCTTTCGACATTTGCTAGCTTACTGATACCGTCCAGTGCTGATTCCGCCTACTGCAGCCTTTTCGACCAGATCTATTGGGTCCCAGTGTCATTGTCGCGCATGCGACACCTCTTGCTAAACAGTTTTCGCTGCGCTGCCACGATTAGGGCGACGTCCAGACTTCGCGTCGACGCGTTGTGACGCACGCTCTGCAGCTGCATCAGTGCTCTAAAGTTATAGACGCGAACGCTGCTGCATCCGTTTGCGAAAGCTCGACCGTGGGCGCCGGCACTTTTGTTTAGAGAGACCACTTGGTAATAGGATAGTACGTGATCGCTCAGTCACGAGACTGGTATATGATCGGTCCTGCTCGTCTGTGGCTGCCATATCCCTTTTAGCTTTGGAGCGACGTTGCAATTGTAGCGCGTCGACGTGCGTCATCGCGAAGTCTGAACGCTCCGCAAAACCTCCTAGTTGACGTCGCTGTTTCACTGAGCGTCTCTGTTCTCCTTTTATAAGCGGCTGTTTCTGCTGTCTAAACCTCTCAAGTATCTGGGGCATTTTTCTCTCTCCGATCTTACTTTCAGTTACCTGCGGACCCAATGTTTTGTGTGCCCGTCTCTTCAGTGAGATGCTGGCCCCTATTATTGAAGACTTAAGGGAATTTTTTTGAAATTATTCACCTGTACGGAAGAGTGGCGACGTGTTGCGTCATATAGAAGCAATGTTCATCAGCTTCATCAATTTGATCCCTCATGGCCAATTTTGCCATACCAAAATCGGCAATACGCAGGGTACAGTCGCTGTTCACCAACAGGTTTGACGGTTTCAGGTCACGATGAGCGATGCCGGCTGTATGAAGATACTGAAACAGCGACATCATCACGTAGAAAAATTTGTTATTGAAACAGAAAAATGCTGCAATCGTCTCGCTAAAACGTTCCACCGGTTGTCCAAAAGAATCAAGGTGAACCTTGTCAATGATTATCATTTCTATCATTCTTCACAGACAAGTACTTTCATTTGGAATGACATTCAAAAGACATTTCTCAGCTATTACTTTGTTTCTTGAAAAGGACGACTAGCTTACTGCAGGATTACTACTTAATACCAGCGCCAATTACCTGACTACAAAGCGCAATTACTGGCTGAACTGAAGTGTGAAAAAGTTGGATGTTAATTGTGGTTTGCCCGGTCTACCTTAGTCCGCCTACTCAGTACTATGGCTTCTCCAAGAATGTAAGGCAGCGTTCATCCTTCGCGACAGCAGCGCTCCGGTCGATCGATGCGCATACTTTCGACTGCATCGATCGCGTCAAATGCGCGACAGGAGCGCTGCCATCGCGAAGTCTGAACGCTGCCTAAGCGGTCTAGGGCGCCTGCAAGGCACCTTACTGGTACTCATTTCAGTTTTACAATACGCAGACCGTAGAATTGTACTGTAGTATTATACAAGACTGTAGTATTGTACTGTAGTATTATAATGCAAAGTGTGAAGCCTCCGCTAGATATAGACACCTAGCAGAGGCTTGAGAGCAACTACTACACAGAGAAAGTCTTTCTTGAAAGTTATTGCGATTTCCGATCCAGATGACAGTCAACATTCACAAATATCGGGTTTCTGAGACCTTACAATGTCCCGAACTTGCTTGTGCCTGGATGATCATTTGGCCAAGGTCGAGGGATCACTCAGCTTAAACTCAAAAGTAGAGATCAGAAGTAGCACGATTGCACTTCTGTTCCACCGCTTTATTCAGAAGACTAACGGCGAGGGGAGGGGGGCGGCAAAGGGGGATTCTCACGATCATGCTGAAGGTCTTTCCCGAAAACGCTTTACAACATATCCTAAGTTTACATAAATAGATCACAGAAACAGGGTCCTTTTTCCTTATGGATTTTTTGCGCACTTTTGGGAAGGTCAGAGATGAACACGGGTTGACCCAGTAATGGCAGACGATTCGAATTCCCATGAACAAAAATATCTACTACAGTTATTTTCGTCTTTCTCCTTGTTCGTATTTCTAAATCCTTTTTGGAACAAGATCGTTCCAAAAGAGAACCGAACCTTCTGTCAAAAAAAGCTATCTGTCGCCGCTCTAGTCATGGGATCGTTGAACTTTTTGGTCTCTTTTCCACCACGAATGGACACTTTTTTCCCTATCTTTCTCCCAGGATCCGCAGATGAAAGGAACTGTATAAACATTTAGGGTCCCAAAACTTGCAGCAAACCCTTTTAGGAAGGCACTCCATCCTCTGAAAGACCCTCTTGTAGGCTAAAGAGTCCAAAGCAGGAGTACTTTTTCAGCGGGCTGGGAGAGTAAGATTGCGGGTCATTTTCTACGTACGACTGTGACCCCTCTCTCTCCCGGACGATCGAAATTTCATCTCCATTTAAAGTTGCCGGCTATGTCAATGACGATCTTGGATCGTGTGGCCTTGGCTGCCGAATTTGAAATGTCTTTAGCGGTGGGTTGTCTCTGAGTAATGAAAACGAGCTGACTCATTGATCTTTACCTACATTTAGCACATAGTTTGCCAGAAAGTCGAACCCGTGGCCCATAATCAAGCCCTCGGATATGGTCAAATAGTTTTTGAATGCCAGGGGGCTCCGCAAGCAATAGGAATTGGTGTAAGCAACACAGGACTGGCAAACAAGTGACCTTCGCGTTGGAAAGGACCATCAAATTTATGAGCCCTTTAGGCTGAGAGACCTTGTCTCCAGGCCTCAAAACCCTCGAAAGGTCGAATATTACAAATATGGACCAACATGTGATTCGGAAGTGCAGTTCGTGCAGTACCATACAGAAACGTAAAAAAAATCCCAAAAATCTGATTATGAATATGTCAGGAGATATCCGCAGTACATTCTTCAAATCGCTGGCTTTGGACTGAATAAATGCTTTGAGGCGTTACAAAAGTAATTTTTGGCCTACTGCTAGTTCTTTGGTACTGTGTGTAAATCGGAGCGCTGGCGCTAGAAAGCTCGGATGGGATAGTTAAAGGACCTCCTGCGAAATAGGGCTTACTACAATGGAGCTAAGGACTTCCGCATAAAAGTAAAGGGGCGGGGAAGAAGCTTCGGTTTTGGTGAACCATTTCATAGTACTGTGATTCTATTCAAATGGCGATAATCACAATTTTGTACAAGAGTCCATCAAATACCGCCACTGTTATTAGGGCCTAAATCGCTACAGTGACCATTGACCACGTCATTGCCTATTACCTCTTGCATGCGATTTGCAGTACCAACCAATCTTATAGTATAAAACCGCGTTTTAGTAGTACCAGTACATACTCGAGTTATTTTTTTGGGCGCTAACGCACAGAACGGGGACGTCATAACTCATTCTTGTTCGTGACCGTTCAACGAAAATGAACTGCTTTTGTTCAAACGCAATCAGTTCCTCAATTGATGGGATGTAGAACTGATGCTTCAGCAAACGAGTATTACTTGAGTAACGACGTGAAGATCGTTCCAGTTTTTTGTGCCGGAAAATTAAATGACATGTCTGATACCTAATGGAGGCAAACGCTTTTATTTCGAGCGTTACTGTGAAATAACTCTTTTGGCCTACCTCGTGCTATGACGTCAGTATGGTTTCGAATTATTATTTAAGAAGCTTACCAGTAGAGAAAGAAAACCTTGGAAACACATTGAACAGAGACCCTGCTTAGCGGGGGTAGGCGGCTTGGACGAGTTTGTCGGACGTCGGACAAGCCCATCGGCAGTATTCGACGTACGATCAATTCCCGTCAAGCATAGGAAATCGCCTTACGATGCTCCAGGCAACGCCACGAACGCACGCGATTTCACTTGTAAGCCGTTGTCTTGCACAGTGAAAGTAATCGTGGTTGCAATAAATGCAATAATCACGCGTCTCTATCTTCTATATCTCGCCGTCCCGAACGACGGAAGTGGTGCATTTTCTGCGAATGCGGATATTGATGCCAAATGCAAGAGCCATTTCGCGGATCACTTGGTTGCTGGTATTTTCCTTGAGCTCATTAAAAGATTCTCATCGGATATATCAATCAAAGACTCTACTTTCATATCCGAAACTACCTCTAAGATTCGGAATAAATTAAGAATTTTCGAACACTGAATGTGCTTGTTGTCGATTATCTTCAAAATACTAACCCGTAGTCCCATGAGCAATTGATACAGAAACTTTCTGATTAGATAATCGTCAAGTTCATTTGGTAAACCATGTATGACCTGATGAAGGCTGAATTCCATGAGATCCATCACTAAAATCATTAAAAGTTCCTGCAATCAATCAATGTACGTCATTGACAACGTTTTTTCTTGAAATCATACCAGGCACGATATTGACTCGTACAAAAACGTTTCTATCTGATCAGTATGGCACAAGCACATAAAAACGGGTTGATAATAGGGAAAAGAGATTGACTTTATATTGATAAAAAACCTACCCAAATAAACATTGATGCCTAATGGTCCTCTTGTACGAAAAATATCTCTCATTGATACTATATTATCATGATGTACGTGACGTAGTACACGAATTTCACGCAATGTTCGACGTGCCAAAGTTGGTGTAGCTGATGCATGTCCAATCTTCTTTATAGCAACCTGAAACTAGCCCATTCGAATATGATTGGTGCCAAGAGTTAATGACCAATCAGGAAAAAAACTTGCACGAAACGCCTTTCAGAGCTACTAAAGGGAGCACTGCTCCAATCTGCCTGTCCTTGGTTGATACCCAGGGCACCATGTACGACTGGGAATCCCCAGCGGGGGGGGGGTCGTATTTAGAAGTTGGAACGGGTCCTTTTTGTGGAATAACAAAAATTTTCTGAGCAGCGAAAATTTTTTGCTGCTGTTGACATTTCCCGTTTCATGAGCGCTATATCCTGCTCGAAGGCTGCTTTTGGACAGAAACTGGAAAAACTCAAAAAATTTCGGAAAATCAGGAATAATTGGGAAAAGTGGTAGGAAGATTGAAAAAATGGAAGGTAAGAAAAGAAAGGGGTTGCATCAGAGAAGAATTGGAGGGGGGGGGGGAAGGAATTGTTCCACGAGAGTGTTCCCCAAGCAGAACGAGCCCCAGTTTCTTCAGTACATTTTGGAAAGAGGCACAATAGTAGTACTATTCTAGTGACGTGTTCATCTCTGTCAATAATGCGCAGGCGAGAAAGAGAAGCGCAAACTTCACTATACCTAAAGAAACCAGAAGAAGTTGAAAGAGTAGTACACCTTGAACAAGTAGTCCCTGGGCTAAGGAGGAGCCACTCGAGCAACTTTGCACGTTAACTCCTCTATCTTACATTTTTCTGACGCGATAGTGGTACACTGTTCTCTAGTGCGGCCCACTGTACCCTTTCCTGTTCAGGGCTCTGATTCTCATAAGTAATCGCCGAATAAGCCTTTAGAACGAGTTCGCTTTCAATAAGGTCACGATCATCGCACTGGAGTGAAGTAGCCGGAGCCCAACAATCGGAAATCGGAAGGAAGGTCAAGCCTGTGTATTGTGTATTGCATATTAGCCCAATGATGGCGCGACCTAATTTCCTCGCTGTTCTAATTTGCCTAATTTATTTTGAAAGTCGGTGCAAAGAGGACAATGAAGGGCCAAAGAAGTGCAGAGTGTTCGATCTTTACTCGAATTATTCCCCTTCACTTCCAATTCTGTTTTTCATTTTTCACCTGAATAGACAAGAAGGGTCAACAAAAACATTGCAGTGCCTTTGGAAGGGATTTATAGTCCAGTTCTGAAACTCGATCGTTTTAAGTTTTGTTTAGATCAAAAAGTCATTCTGCTAGACCGCCAAGGAGTTTGACAGGTTTGATTGAGTCTTCGATCTAGACTGACAAGTTACCAATGAGATTCTTGATGTGTGACCGATCAAAACCAGTACAATCGAATTCTTCGAACACTTAGTCACGGTGGACGCCCTCTTACAAGCCCTGGCTGACTAATTGAAGATCTCTACCACGCAAATTCGCTGATGCGATTTCAAACAAAAAACGCTGCTTGTTCAGAGTGCAAACTGAAATCCTCGGCGCGCCCTTCATTGAAAGCAAAGTGGCTTCCGTTGCCGGCTTTCCATTTGAAAGATCATTCTTCACATCTCTGAACTTGGACAGGAAAGAGTGGCTAAAAATATTTTCGTTACTTTCCCCGAACCAATTGCGAATTGCTGCGTAATTGGGGAATGCGTCATACATGAATGTCATTATTGATTGGCTCAAAATTTGGACCCTGTCCAAGGCCATTTGTGTCTTTGAGCCTCTTGGTATACGGATAAGGTCCAAGTCTCATAAACCGGCTAAACTGCGCATTCTCCTAATGGCCTCGCGTAATCCGTTCCCTCAGTCCAATCCAAAAGCGATCTTCACCTTCATACTTCCTGGTTTGACAAGCGTATGTCAAGATGATGGCAGAAATTGTCCATTTACGTCGCCTCACTCCCTGCCTCAATAGCGACCCCCTAACTCTCAAAGTCCAACTTCACTCACTTCATTCCCCTCCGATTTCCCCAGAAGACACCATCGATGCGGCAGTTATGAACCATAGCACAGCGGGTGAGAAGTTTTCTTCTTTTGAAAATCCCTAACCCTCAGGATCAGTGTAGAACCCTCCAAAGGAGCCAAACACGATCCTCTCCCAGAACTAGTCGATTAAGATCTCTTTGTTGAGGACCCTGAACTACGCCGTGTCTTGGCTGTTATACGTTCAGTACAACCGGTCCTATGAGCAGGAACTGTGGATTCGGAATCAACTTCTTCTACTTCATAGTTCCCTAATAACTCAGACTCAGCCATTTCCGGTCCAAGATCGCTCTGGAAAATGTGAGCCTTACCTAAGGAACGTTCAAGTCAAAGGTAAGCACTACGGCTCTTGATCGCCTCTTCACAAAATAGAGCACAAACGTAAAATCAACTTGGGAACTGTCGATGTTTTCAATCATCAATACTTTCTAGAGGGTTGAAATCAGTTAGCTAGCTAGTAAGCTGACATTTAAAACACTTCACATTTTCTTGCTCATGGAAGAATACTTTGAAAGCTTACTTTCAAACCAATTGAGGAGAGCTGAGAGAAAAAAAATCAGGAGGTAGACAAAAACGATTAAATGATTTGAGGACGGACTTCACGGTTCCTTCGAGCTTTTTGGTTTGCCTAACTGCAGTTCATATCTGAGAGCAACGAGGGGCGTAGCTCGAGCACGGCCAGCGAGGCAAAGACGTACACTCAGAGATGTCTCTGAGATGCGGTGGGCGTGGTGAAAGTGGCAGCGCGGGGCTATGCCATGTTCACCACCCTACTCTATGCTAAGAATAAGGAATATAGGTATAAGGAAGGAGAGTCTACGAAAGTCTACGTAGATGTCATAAGGACGCCCCTTTTTTGCCCTCCGATTTCGTTTTTACCATTCCTCCTAATCCAGTTACCTGTTGTATTTGTCTTGAAACGAGCTTTTCTAACGATTCCCCTCTTACATTAAGATCACTTCCCCTTAACCTATACATAAAACTGATTCTATACATTATTGTTCACCTTTGTAAGACGACCATCGCTGGTTGTTTCTTCAGCTTCGCAAACGATTCCGAACGCTCCCGCTCCAATGCTCCGAACTGGTTCGTATTTTTCGGCAGCGGTACCAAATTCAAAATCGAGATGCAATTGACGACGTGCCAAATCGTCTAGCACCCGATTGAATCCCGTTTTGGCCGCCGGCATCGCGGGATCTGAAATAGAATCGGGTATTCGTTTTTTTTCAAATCGGGTTTTCCATCCGTAATTGGCATTCGCGCTGGTTGGTTTTTTTATGAAACGCCACAAATGAAACGATAAAATCGAAAAGTGTGATGAACAGCAATACGATTTCACTCGCAAAAGAGGATGAACAGATAGAAACGAGCCAGCTCTTTAGGAAAAAAAATGAGTATAATGGGTATGATGAAGTCCGGGTAGGAAAATTTGCGATAATCATGAAATAATCGATATTCGCCCTTTTCCTCAACTTGTTTCAAGAGTCTCGTAGGGACTGGAAACTAGAGTATTTTAATCAGAACTTTACTGAATTGTGACCCAAAGTTGCACTATTGAAGGCAGCCACGTTTGGCAATAAACTAGTAATTATTGAGTATTATTTACTAATTCTGGGTGTCAATATCATATCTCAAACTTAGGCGATCTAGCCATGAAATAGGCCGCACGATAGAAAGTTTTTTTGAATCTAACGAATATGTTCAGAAAGTGCAGTTGCATACTAGTAAGTCGGTTGCTGGAATGATGTGAGTGATCAGTAGATCAAGTAGTTTCCCAATGGCAACTAAGATAGCAACCATCATTGTAACTTTGCTCGGGCAAAAGCAATGATATCGAAAAATCTCATTGTTCTAAAGAAATGCAGAAAATCCATTGATCTGGTCTTGGACGAGGGAATACGAGGATGTGTTTGAAGAGAGATATCTTGCCCTAGGAGACAATTTTTGCAAAATAGGACCCTTCCGCCTATTGTGAGACCCTTACCCTTACCATTCTCTTACCCAACCCACCATCTTCCTTGTATCTCCCATCTCCCTACCTCCTTTCCAGAATTCCCAAAACTTCACATTTTCCCGAAAAAAAAGCGCCGTCCAGCGGAGTAGGGTAGGGTGTGGTAAACAACGCATTTAAAATAGGAAAACCAAGAAAAGTAAATAAGCAAAAAGGCCTACAACGTATCCCTGTACTTACCTCAGTACCGAAGAGACGCTTCAGATCACCACAGGTACTGACGAAAGATTGAAAAATGAACTCATTTCGCACTGCAATCCACGTACTCAACTAATTCAACGGTAACCAGTAGGATTTATGTAAATATCCGTGAAAGTAAATGGAACAATGCGAACATAATACCCTACGTATCACACCACGCTCGGCCTTTTTAATCCACAATCCCTACGGCGACATCAGACGTCGCGCGCGGCATGCCGCACGCGACCAATCCACTACAACTATCGTACGACTGCAATTATCGTGGGGCTTAATGGCATAGAACTATAACAATGAAGGCATTGGAGGGGGGGGGGCATCTGAGAACTGATTTCTTTTGGGAACTACGAAACGGAAGAACTATTCAAGAAACCTTATAAACCGAACTTATAGGATCATCGCATTACCCAGCGCCCACCCCGAGCCGGATTGTTTAGGCCAGTACTGCCTACATTCTATCCTAATCTGATTCTAGGTCATTCTTCATAGCTGAAGACCCAGTTAATAAACAGTATAAAGTAATGAGTGTACAGAAAAACTATGAAACTTCAAGTAAATGGAGCACTGTCCAATATGATTGATAAAGAAAATGGTGATTCAAAAGCCTTGAGATCCAAGTGAAAGCCCCTCCACTCCGTCTATAACACCCTATACGACTTAGAACAGGAGAGCTGAACGAGTTATATGTAGTAAGAAACGGTATGTAACGAGTTAATAAAGACATCAGTCCCCCTACGAGTCCGTTAATGAACGAGACACGTTT